GCGTGGTTAGACTAGATGTAATAGTAAACTGAAGGACTTTGAGAGGTGGAGTACTAAGTGGTTAGATTGGGCGAGGTGGAATACTGAGTGGTTAGATTGAGTGAGATGTGATTTTCAATAGCTGTAAACCTATTAATCACCTAAATAGGTGACAAAGAACATTTATTCAAATTAGCAGACAATCAATCCTCCAATTCTGAACACAGTTGCAATTGTAGAATTGATCTGCATTGACTATGAAGACCTTGGCAGCAAGTGTGGCTGATTTAGAAATATGGAAAAGTGCTGAAGCCCATGGGACTGTAGCCCATCATGAGTCAAGAGAGAAAAGCAGAGAAAAACAAAACTGGTTTTAAAATAAAAACAGAGATATCAGCTAGTCTGGCAACATTGACGGAGAAACAAAATTAATATTTCAGGTCTGTGACCTTCTATCAGGACTGAGCAGTTTGTACCTTGATTTGTTCTTGAGTGCTCCTCAGCTTGACTGCCAACTTCAGACAGTTTTCATAGGCTGTTTTGGCCATGTCCTTGTTGTTTATTGCTGAATAACAATTCGCATGGATCAGGTGGAACTGCATTCGGATTAAATCACTCATTGTTGACTGACAAAGCTGTACAGCTGAGCTGACCAGCTGAATGCAGAGCTCATGTAATGCAGCATCACAGAGCAGGTACCCAATCTTCAGAAGCAGCTCTTCGATACCTAAACAGCAGAGAACTAGATATCTCAAGGATGTCAAAGGCTATCATGATTCATAATTTACCTAAATTCCCAAAGCAAAGTCACTGAATCAGTTTCTGATTGCCTTTGAAGGCTGGCAATGACAAGCAGTCCAGACGGATTTACTTGTCATGCTCCCCATGTGGCAACAGGCCCACTGCAGCTGGGTTCATACTGGCAATAGCAGGATAAGGCTCCGAACAAGTCATTAATTATCCAGCCCAGGATTAATCAGGAAGGTAAAACCATGAAGATGGGCAAAAGAACCAGGAGTAGATCATTCAGCTTCTTGAGCCTGCCCCAACATACACCTAGATCACTGAGGATCTTCTACTTCAACAGCACTTTCTCAGTCTATTCCTATATCCGGTGACACACTTAATATCCAGAAATCTATTGACCATATCTGATTAAGTGCCCGACAGCCTCCAAACCTTCCATAAGATGGGGCAGACCATTCTCCCTATTTGGTGGGACTGGATTCACATGAAGGCCGGACTGAGAGAGAGATGGGAGGTACACCTCACTAAAACAAGGGTGTTTTTAACACCAATAGGATTAAAATTCACGGAAATAGTTTGATTAGGAAGAAAGTTTTCATTCAAAATTGCGAAGTTTTTGGAAAACTAGAGAGTCAGAAGAGTCATGCGTTGGGGGATGAGTTGTGATGTGGTCAGGGGTCAGGTTGTTATGGAGTCAGGGGTCGGGGATGGGCTGTGATGGGTCAGAGGACTGGGGGATGGGCTGTATGGGGTCAGGGGATCGGCTGTGATGGGGTCAGGGGATCGACTGTGATAGTTGCAATGAATTCTTTGTCTTGTCAGTCTGTTTAATTATGTTGCCATGCAAAGGTATCTGGAGACAAAAACTAGATATGCTCCCTTGCTGCTCAAGGTGTGCATCTATCCATCTACAGTGACAAGCAACAGCACCAGATTATTAGCTGCCAGTCTGTAATCGACAGTCACACGTTATCTAACTGCAAAATGAGAAGACATCAACATCAGGAGTGATGACAACATCAGGATATCATGTGAAAATGAGGAATTCCCACTTGTAAGCTCCATTTTGCCTGTTTTAAAGCCCCATCAGATTGAACTCACTACACTTCATTTTACAGACAATAGAAGTTAACTTATTCGAATCACGGACTGGGACACTGACAAATGGCAGTATCAAAAGAAGGCCTTTGTTACTCTTCCTAGCATTGTTGTTTTCATGTCAGTGCATTGTTAGACACTGGATGCAGAGTGAACTGTATCTGTAGACCTGTCTACACCTATTCTGTCTATTTGACAGAATTATTAGGATTCGGATATCGAGCTAGGGCTCTGTACCTTTCTCTTCACAGCACTTGTCGTGTGTTTCAACTTTACACAGTCTCTTGGTGGCTTTGTAAAGATCTTTCACAATCTCATTCCGGTGCATTGAATCAAGCTCCAAACAACGAAGTAGAGAGTGGAAAGCCTTTTGGATATGGCCAAGGTACCTGTTAGCCAGGGACAGCAAATAATGATTCTGTAATGGAGAATGAGAAGAAAGTTATCAACACAGTAACATACAAAGATTTAAAGCGTTGTATTGTCCGAGTAATCATCAATGGCCTTCAATTCAAGTGGGCTTAAATATATGAAAGGAAGAGGCTAATATTCCCTCCAACCTTGTCCAGGCATTGGACAATCAAACCAGCACCTGATTTGTCCAGACTGTCTTGTCATTGATTATATTCCAGGCTAAGATGAATAATGCCTTGGAATCTAAGGAAATTAGGGATGCAGGGATCAGGCAAGATTGTGGAATTAAGATTGAAGATCAGTTACAATCATATTAAAGGTACAGCCGGTTCAAGGAATCATTACTCCACTCCTGCCTCTATTCTAATGTTCTTAGGTCTGAGAGTGTCTATAATCTGTGGGCCAGCCCATTAAAAAGACCAGGCTGAACATGCAGAAATTAGCTCAGATACCAGAGATCAGCTGTTGGAGGTGATCTTCAAACATGAAGATCAGTTGAGAGACAGCACAGGTAAGGGTGCAGTTACCATTGTGACTATCTGCTTTGCCATATAGTTCTTTCAGACCCTAGGATCTGAGGGGTTGCAATATTCTTATGCACACCTGGTAAAGTACAGCCTTTGAAAACAATGGCAAGAAAATAAGACAGGATAACTGGGAACAGCTGTTACACCTCATCACCATGACTACCCTGATTCACTGCTTGGTGTAGACTCAGACCCCGGGATTATTATCTCGGGATTGGCCAGAAATCCTGGAAAAATGTCAATGAGATATAGATTGATATAATAAGAATGACTTTGGTCTTGGGTACCAGTGCAGAATGGATAATAATGAATCAATCACTCAGATTACACCCAGGTATGTTTTGGTTCCATTACTGTTAACAGGAATGGGCATTGGCAAGTCATATAGAAGGCAGCCAATGCACAACCATCCATTCATTTCACAATTCCTAGTGAACTGGAATGTTAACTCCAACATGTTGTGTTTTAAATGGCATTAAAAGAAACAAGGCACAGCGGGGGATTCATCAGTTGAAAAAGCCACTTTTCCCCCACCCGTCAAGGCGCCACTGACCCACTGATCACTGGCAAGCTATCTTAGAAAATTCCCCCCAACTTCTACCCCAACCACCATAGGTGGAACTGACAGAATCACTGAATGGGTGCTCCCCCAGTCACAAGCTGGTTCTGTCTCTATGAGCCGGTGACTGGGGGAGCAGTGAGACAGCAAGGCTGTTGAGACAAAGAAAGTGGGTGACAGGAAGGAAGGTACCAGGAGAAGTGTGGAAGAGTTTGTGGAAGAGTGAGAATGCAGAAAGGGGAGAGGGGATTAGAAGATGGGAAGACCAGTTTTAAACCTTTCAACCTTTCCCTACTGAAACAAACACAGTGTCACTTGGTTAATTTAATATCGAATAGTTTTATTTCATCACAATTTGCATTTATGTGATATCACATTGCAAAGTTTCTCTCACAGCTTGAATTATTTGAGGAGTGGTGACTTGTTAGAGACAAACATGCAACTGCTTAGCTGTGATTTCAACAGTCTGTGAAAGTGTGTTTATGTTGATGGCTTTGTGTATAGGTTTCTATCAGTTTTTTTAAAAAGGAAAACTTTTTTTGCTAACTTATGCCTGTTGTCTTATGCCAATTTAAGTGCTGCAGTTTCTAGAAAATTAATGCTCTCCTTGTGTGTTGTGAGTTTAATTTAATGGAGTGGTGATGGTTATTGAGGATATTGATGAATTCTTCTAATTTGGCTTCTGTTAAAGTCTAAATGCCCCACATGACAACATAAATCCAAAAGTATGAGACTGTTTTAATTAATAGAGGAATTAGTAAGAATTGATAAGGAACCATTGAAAACCGAAAGGTAGACCACGAAATTCAAAAAGTAGCCCTTACGAAAATCTTAAGAGGAGGTTTCAAAATAAAAAATTGATCCCTTCACCAACCATACTGGAAGAGTCATGGGGGTTGGTATCTCCATATAATGCTAATCAGCAGACAGCTAGCAGTGCCATTTGATAGAATGATACCTGCTACAAGCATTTACCATAGACTGGCACAGAGCTGGCCAGCTGCAGCCTCAAGTCTACAGGTGAGTTTCCTTTATTTTTACTTTTGGTTAAGTCCTAACCCATTGTGCCTTTAGCCTTAATGGAAGATGTTAAGGAGTTGAAATGCCTTGCAGAGCCCCTGTCCTTTCTCTGTAATACTCATTTTAATTTTCTTCATTCCCTAAATTTCATAGACACTGACATTTGAGGTCAGGTTTGTACCAGGATTTGTGAATAATGAAGCAAATGGGCTGGTCCAGGAAGCTGGAGTGCTGTTAATATGAATCAGGAAAGGCTGCCACGGATTCTTAACCTCATATGTATGACTAACACAGATAGAGAAAAATCAACTCCAGCATCATGACTATTTGTTGGTGATGATAAAGGAGCATAGTGTTTACATGAAAATGGAGCTATGTCTACCCAATGGCAGTCATAAACTAGATCATGAGCAGGTAGCCTGAACCAGAATTCCTGAGGAATGATCTCAGATTAGTTTTGATTTCCACAGACTCTAAATAAGCTTTCAAAGAGTTCTCTCCCCTTAACATTTAAACTGGCAGAGTGTGTTTTCTCAACATGCGTCTCCAAGAAGCCTGACCTGCGGAGCCTCTGGCCGGATCTGAATCAGGAATTCTCCATCCAACCTTGCAGCCTCATATTGTTTCATGTGAATGAACGCCAAGGCACGGCATGACAGTAACTGGCAGTCCTTGGCATCCAGCATTAGACCCTGGGTGTAATAATGCACAGCCTCCTCATAGTTCTCTTTTCTCAATGCATCATCTCCTTGTGCCTGCAGACATGCAACCTGTAACAAACACACCGTTAGCAGCAGGCATTCAGGCAGCAGCCTTTCCACAATCATTGTAGGACCAACTGTTCACCAGTCACCTTCAGCTCTTACTGAAGGGCAGTAGATTACCAGTTACAGTTTTATATAGAAGTAAACAGTACTGCTCAGTGAGTTAAGAGAAACTGTTTTATATTTCATTAAACAACATTCTGCTGATAAAATCATATTATACATAACTAATATGACACCACTTTTAAAACACTCAAAACCCCAAAATATACACAAAATAAAACTCAAGTCTGGGCTGGCACTGGCCAGGGTATTTTCTGTGTAGCCTGAAACAGTATTCATTCTTGTACTTTCATTTTTGTGGGGCTAAAGAGCTTTCACAGGAGAGTCCTTTAAGAATATCTGGTTGGGCTGTTGTATATGTGAAAAAACTAGAGGAGCAAGTGTGACACAGTGTGATCACAAACATTAGAGAGATCCTAAACAAGAGTTGGGAAGCTGTAACTAGTAGAATGCCACAGGAATCATTGCTGGATGCCCAAATACTTACAAGCTATATCGATGATTTGGATGATAGACTATGTGTATGGTAGCTAAATTTACTGATAAGACAAAAATCATTCGGGTAACAAGTTGTCCGGAGGAGGTAAAGAGTCTGCAAAAGGATATGGACAGGTTAAGTGAGTAGACAAAAATTTAGCAGATGGAGCATTTGCTGAAACAACCAAATCAGTCATTTTCTTATTGAATGATGGAACAGAGTTGGAGGGCCAACTAGCCTACCCCTGCTCCTATGTTCTTTCTGAAGAAGTAGCCACCCTGATATCCACATTGAAGGCCTCTTAATACCTGCGCCTGAATTACTCCTGGTGCTGTGCCCCAGTGAGAACAGAAATAAGAAGATGCGGCAGATTACACAGTTTGAGAAATGGTGCAGGAGTGACAGTTTATTTTTTATTTGTTCATGGGACATGATAATCGCTGGCTAGGCCAGTATTTATTACCCAATCAAACTGCCCTTGAGAAGCTGATGGTGAGTAGCTTTGTTGAATGCACAGTCTATGGGATATAGGTATTACCACAGCGCTGTTCAAATTTTCAGGCAGTGACACTGAATGAACTGTGATATATTTCCAAGTCAGGATGGTGTGTAGCTTGAAGGAAATCTTGCAGATGGTGGTGCTCCCATGCATCTGCTGTCCTTGTCCTTCTAGATGGCAGTGGTCATGGCTTTGGAAAGTGCTGCTGAATGAAACTTGGTGAGTTGCTGCAGTGCATCTTGTAGCTGCTACACACTGCTGCTACTGAGTGTCGAATGGGGTGCCAATACATGGGCTGCTTTGTCTTGGATGGTGTTAAACTTCTTCAGTGTTGTTGATGATGCACTTTTCTAGGGAAGTGAGGAGTATTCCATCATAATCTCAATCAGAGCCTTGTAGATGGTGGGCAGGCTTTGGGATGTCAGGTGATTTACTTGCTGCAGAATTCCTAACTCTTGTAGTCATAGTATTTATATGGCTAGTCCATTTCAGTTTCTGGTCAATAGTAACTCCCAGGGTGTTGACAATAGAGGATGTAATTAGGGTGAACTATTGAATGTCAAGTGGCAATGGTTAGATTCCCTTGTTGGAGATAGTCGTTGCCTGGCACAATTGTGGCATAAATGTTATTTGACACTTGTCACTTGAAGAAAAAATGATGAAGAGGTGGCTCATATACAATATATATACTGTCAATAATATATATTCTCTCAAAAGGGAAAGATAGCATTTTATAATCCAGAGCTCTCTGGATGAAAAAGGAGAGAGAAACTAAGATAAAAAGGAAAAGGATGCTTATATCAGATGTTAGGTAGAAAATGAAAACTAGGTTGAACACGAAATGTTCCGAAAGGAACTGAGAAAGAAAATAAGAGGGATTATGAAAAGTTATTGACAGCTAACAAAGGGAAATACCAATAGCAAATCCCAAAACAATAAAAAGGTGGTAAAATGAGGAGTAGGTTTGATTGGGGACTGACAAGAAAATTTACACGTGAAAGCAAAGGCACATGGCTGAGACATTAAATGAATATTTCATATCTGTCTTTACTGACAAGGCCATGGTGACAGAGGAGGAAATTCAGTCACTATACTCAGTTCACAATTGATAAGGAGGAGGTATTGGATAAAGTGTTGGCATTTAAAGTTGACAAGGTACTTGGACACGATGAGGTTCATCCAAAAATACTGAAGGAAGTGAGAGTGAAAATTTCAAAAGGTACTGGCAATTATCTTTCAGTCTTCTCTGGACATGGGGTTGATGCCAGAGGACTGGAAAACTGCAAATATCACACCCCTGTTCAAAAATGATTGCAAGGAAAAGTCCAGCAATTACAGACATGTCAATTTAACTTGAATGGTGGGGACACTTCTAGAAGTAATAATTTGGTATGGAATTAATAGTCAAATGGACAAATTTAGGTTAATCAGGAACAGCCAGAAAGGATTTGATAAGGGAAAATTTGTGTTAATATTTTGTTGGAGTTCTATGAGGAGGTACCATAGAGAGTCGATGGGGGTAATGCTGTGGGTGTGGTGTACGTGGACTTCCAAAAGACATTTATACAGTTTGTGGATGATACAAAACTGGGAAGCAATGTAAATGCTGCAGAACTTAAAAGGATAATGATAATTGGTTCAATTGGTGCATAGGTGGCAGATCAAGTTCAATGTGGAGAAGCATGGGGTGAAAATGTTTGGTAGAAAAAGCATGAAGAGACAGTAGGTGGAATCTTACAGTGATCTGAGCAACTCGGAGATAGCAAGAACTACAGATGTTAGAGTCAGAGTCAATGGAGGAACACAGCAGGTCAGGCAGCATCAGAGGAGCAGGAGAGTCGACGTTTCATCAATCCTCTGATGCTGCCTGACCTGCTGTGCTCCTCCAGCTCCACACTGTAGTGATCTGAGCAATGTGATCTCAGTGTGAGATTTAGAGTAGAATTGGATGAGATGTTTGTGAGGCACATCTTGAAGTTGGGAGCATAGAGTCTAGAATCATACAGCACTGAAACAGGCCCTTTGGTCCAACCAGTCCATGTCGACCATAATCCCAAACTAAACTAGTCCTACCTGCCTGCACTTGGTCCATATCCCTCCAAATATTTCTTATTCATGTAATAACTATAAGAAATATAGAAGTAAATCTAGAAATAAGCCTGAATCTCAAGAGCAGCTGCAAAATCCATGCTTATCTCAGTCCATCATTTTAGAGAATAGGGTGCTGTTGGTTGAAAGTACAGACATTAGTGGTAAAGCAGTTAAAATCGGGGATATGGTGAGAAGCAAGTATCTTATCCCTTCTTTCACGATTCTGTTGAGCAGTGAAGTTTCTGGCTATGCAGCAGTGAATTGCCAAATACGGGGGATTACAGCAACAGCCCAGCTTGCCTCATTAATATTCAGCTTCCTATCTCATCAAACATGCTGAGCAAGCTAGATGATGAGAATTCTTGACATGGAAATCGGAGCAGATACCTGGAAACTCCAGGTTGCCACTTGCTCCTAAGGGTCTCCATGTTGCACAGCACCAAGTAGCATCTCTGGATGCGATCCATGGGCATCAGCCCATTGGGGGAGGCGTTGGCCTAGTCGTATTATCATGGACTGTTAATCCAGAGACCCAGATAATGTTCTGGGGTCCTGGGTTCGACATGACAGATGGTGGAATTTGAATTCAATAAATATTTGGAATCAAGAATTTAGTGATGACCATGAATCCATTGTCAATTGTCAGGAAAAACCCACCTGGTTCACTAGTGCCCTTCAGGGAAGGAAACTGCCATCCTTACCTGGTCTGGCCTACATGTGACTCCAGATCCACAGCAATGTGTGGTTGACTCTTAACTGCCCTCTGGGCAATTTGGGATGGGCAATAAATGCTGCCTAGCCAGTGACACCCTCATCCTGTGAATAAATAAAGTAAAAAAAAAAGAGCCGCACACAACCCTATCATCTAGCATCTGCCAACTCCTCATGACCATTGTGGCACCTCACTGATACACTTGCCGGCCACTCACGAAACACAAACATATGTCACAGGATGCACCAGCAACTAGTACTGAGAAGCTGCTGCAGGGACACTCTGTGCTCAGGGACAGGCATCCAGCTCACTGATTGGTCCAGGCTTCATCTTGGGGCTGCTCTTTGGTTGTCATACTGCTCACTCATTCAGCGTCTATCTGCATGCTCACAGCATATCCTACAATGACTTGGCTTGTAATGCCAGTTAGTCTTTGGCTCTGGCTGAAGTACCAATCTGGTGGCTATCAGTACTGCCATATTGGTGAGTTATTTAATGCAGACAGACAGATAATCTTGTCAATAGGAATATGTATGGGAGAGGGGAACATCTGCCTCCACTGAGATGTCAATGTAACACCGACAGCAAGTGCCACAGCTGTCTGTGTTCCAAATTCAACCAAATGGACACGTCAGAAACTGGGTGGGGGCTAGTTCTCAGTCAACAGGGGAGAAGGGGTGGTACCTATTGGTCAGGGGTCCCTGGTACCGTCAGTTAGGGGCACAGTCCATGGATTTGACAATGGTCAGTCATCAGCCTGAGGCACTTACCTTTAGGGGGTCAGTCCAACAGTCAGTCCTGTAGGGTCAGCAGCAGCAGCAGTCAGGAGATCACACACAATCGGTCAGGGAGCTGCAAAGATAGTGGCCAGGGTCCAGACAGTCTAGGGGCAGCATATTAAAGTCAGTCAGAGATCTGAGATGAATTCAAAACAGGGATACGCCTATTAAGTGTGAAGGAGGGTACAAGTGTGTCCCGTAGGGGCAGTGGGGAAAATCACTGCCAAAAGTGCTGGGGAGTCAAGCCTGGGGAGGACAGCGAAAGAGAAGTGTTTGGGGTGGTGGGAACAAGGATGGTGATGGGGCAAACTCAAGGTGTATGAGGGTTTGCAGAGCTTCATCAGAGGGCATGGTAGGCTATAGAGGGGGTAGTTATTAACAGTGACCATCATCGTGGCCTCCGCAGGGATCCTCTAGGGGTCCAGGGTGGGTAATGTCAGGGCTTCGGGGTGGGAAGAACAGTTGGAGGCAAAGTTCAATGTGCAATCAGGGTAATCCTAGGTAAAAAGGGACATGGAAGCTGGAGGGGTATTTGACAATGAGTCGGAGCCTGGCACTGACTCTCTTTCCTGCCAATACATGCCATTCTCTAGATGCATAATGCAATTAAAAAATGCCTCAGGCAATGGCCGGGTTGGGTAGAGACAATGTTGCTTTGATGAGCAAAAGTGGGGGAGCCATGTCTGCTGGTCATTAGCACACTGAAGAGGTAAATACATGAGACATGTGTTTGCAAGTTCCAGCTGCATTTCATTTGCAAACATTTTTCACATATACTTAATGTATGCATGGCGAACATGCTCATGTGCCAAATATTGGGGAAATGTGGATTACACAATGCTATCGGTGCTTGTTGTCATCTCCGTTATGCGGAAGTTAAAAGAACTAAAATGAACCATCATTCGTAAAACTTCCAAGGGTGACGTGACTGTGGAATGAAGGGAAGATTGCTGTAAAATAAGTCATTCAAGTAGCGCGATGGACTCTAATGAATGCAATGGAGAGTGGAATGATTGTGGTGGGTCTGGATAGGAAGGAGTTGGATCAGATCAGGTACTCCTTTTTGAATATAATCTGTTGGCACAAGGGATGCTGGTCTTTCAATGGATAGACAAGAGTGAGAGTTATTCTGAGAATGGCACGTGATATTATGGGATTTAGAATCAGACATGTGGGACGACAGGAGATGGGATAAGAAGTTAATGAGGCAAGAGATCTTGCTGGGCCTAATATTGAGAACCCCTCCAAAAAACTTAATGCAACTTTCACTTAGCCATAAAAACATAAGATTCAGCCCAGTATTAAATGAAAAGTACTACTTTAAAGGGTGTGCAGGAGCAAAGGAACTTGGGTATTTATGTGTCTATGTTGTTAGGAGCCAGGTTACATGGAGGGAGTGCGGTTAATAAAGTATAAAGTATCCCAGCTTTACTATTAGTGGCACAGAATTCAACAGCAAGGATGTTATGCTAAACCTGTATAAGACACTAATCAGACTTCATCTGGACAAATTACTTTAGGAAAAATGTGAACACATTCTACAGAGTACAGAAATGAGAAACTTCACTTATAATGTTAGATTGAAGACGTTCTGCCTGTTTCCTTTGGAAAAGAGCTTGCGATGTATTCCCCACTTGCCTGGATGACTGCAATTCTAGCAACCCTCAAGAAGCTTGATACCATCCAGGACAAGCCAACTCACTTGACTGGCACCACATCCATCACCTTAAACATTCATTCCCTTACCCACCACAGTGGCAACAAGATGGATAGTAGATTCTCAAAGTTTATTGGAACATATGGTAACATATTGGCATGGATAGAAGACTGGCTCTCTAACAAGAAGCAAAGAGGAGGAATAAGTGGGCCTTTTTGGGCTGGCAGCATATCATGAGTGATGAGCTACAGGGGTCAGTGCTGGGGTCTCAACTCTTTACAATTTAGATGATTTGGATGAAGGAATCGAAACTATGGAGATAAATTTGTTGATGACACAATGATGGGTAGGAACGCGAGTTGTAAAGCGGGCAGAAGGAACCTACAAAGGGATATAGATAGATAAGTGAGTTGGCAAAGATCTGGCAAATGGAGTATAATGTGGGAAAGTGTGAAGTTGTCCATTTTTGTAGAACGGTTAATAATGAAGCATATTATCTGGTACAGCAGGTATTCAGGAAAGCTCACAGAACGTGATGGGAGTGCAAGATTGGGGAGATTAAGGTTCAGTTATACAGGGCATTGGTGACACTGCATCTCGAATACTGTATATAGTACATGTAAGCGTATCTATGTTAATGTGTTGGAAGCAGTTCAGGAAGGTTTACTAGACTTATACCTGAAATGAGTGGATTGCCTTATGAGGAAAGGCTCGACAGGCTCCAGGCCAGATGTTGTATCAGCATCCTGACACCTCTGGGAGAGTTTCAAAGTGCCGGTGAGGGCTAAGAAGTATGAAATCCACTCATCATCAATTAACATCCCAAAAATCTCCTGAACCCAAAATCTTTGGTGAACATCAGTTTCAGGTTTGAGACAGGGCCAAAGAAAGGTTCCTGTTTTAATGTTGAGAGTTACTGGACCCTCTGTGGTGGAATTTGTGCCTTACCTTTCTTTTGCCTGGCTGCTCTCCTTCTCAAGGACTGATCCTCTGTGGCAGGCCCCGGTATTGCTGCTTGCACCAGGCAAGCCAAGTCTGCCTCCTGGAGGCATTCACTGCCACTAACTGAGCACCGCGCTTACAGGACTGACAGTGAAGGAGGAGAGTTATGATCTGAAAGTTATCCAGGTGTCAGTTTCCTAACGCTGCATCAAAATTTCAGGCCTCTGTATCATTCTGGTGAAGGTCACTCTGTGAAGCTTCTATACTAATGTGCAGCCTCGCCAAATCTGACAGTCAATAATACTGTAACAGTACACCTCTCCAACATTTTCTCCGTCCACAACAGCACAGGAGCCTTGCAAAATGTTCTCACCCAGTTATATCTAACAGATTGCTGTGGATGAGCATGATAAAATCCACTGTTTAAAGGCACAGTTTATAATGTTTACCTTTTGAGAGTCCGTCATTGCGTCTGTTGAGGTTGCTTCTGGATTGGGCAGAGGATTTGTCGTTGAAATGCTCTGGTCAATATTTAAACTCATCTTCAGTCACAGACCTGTGGGATCAAACAACACACTCGATCACAGGGTCACTGAGGCAGCTACATTGAGGGTCCCAACTCTTGGTTCTCAGTGTGTCACACCATATCACTGCACAGAAAATCTGGTAAAATTTATCTTCAACCACAAAGATCATGTGTATCTATATGGTATAAATACAATATGGTCAATGCATATTTCTGCTTGCCTTGATTTTGTGTTGGAAATAAAAGATGATTCATAGTGAGTCAAGAGTTATACATCTCATCAGTGATTGTGCTCACAGTGATCGCGTGTGCACGAAAGTGGCCAATTAGAATTCAACCCAGAGCAGTATGAGGTCATATATCTAGGGACAGGAGTACGGCAAGCAAACGTGTAATAAATTGGAGGAATTTGAGACTCACAGGTAGCAGTGTGGTGAGGAAGGCATTTGGCATGCTTGCCTTCATTGGTTAGTGCATTGAGTATAGGAGTTGGGATGTCATGTTGCAGCTGTACACGACATCGGTCAGGCTACTTTTAGAATAATGCGTTCAATTCTGATCTCCCTGCTATAGGAAAGATGTTGTTAAGCTTGAAAGTGTTCAGAAATGATTTGCAACCATGTTGCTGGGACTGAAGGGTTTGAGTTATAGGAAGAGGCTGAATAGGCTGGAGCATGTTTCCCTGGAGCGTCGAGGCTATGGGGTGACCTTACAGAGGTTTATAAAATCACAAGGGACGTGGGTAGGGTGAATAGCCAAGGCCTTTTTCCCAGGATAGGGGAGTCCAAAACTAGAGGGCATAGATTTAAGATGAGAAGGGAAAGATTTAAAAAGGACTGAGGGGCAACCTTGTCACATTTTAACTTTTGAATCTATCCCACTCTACGGCAGCATTCTGAAGCTGAACCAGACTTACCACAGACTTGGTGCTATATTTGACCCCAAGGTGAGTTTTTAACCATACACCCATGCAATCATTAAGGTTATTGAGTTCAACAGCTGTAACATTGCACATCTTCAGCCTTGCATTGGCTCATCTGCTGTTGAAACCTCATCCACCACCTTGTTACCTCTGGACTTCACTACGCCTGGATGATCTTCACATTCTCTGTAACCTGACACCATTCAAAACTCTGCTGTTCACAAATCACTCCTGTACACATGGCCTGCACTGTCTCAGCTAAGCAATACCTTGATTTTGAAATTACCATCCTGGTTTTTAATCCCTCCAAGGCCTCACTCCTTCCTACCTCTGTAATCTCCTCTAGCTTCGCAACCCTCCGAGATACCTGTGCTCCTCAATTCTGGACTCTTGCATTCAAGTAGTGCCCTTAACATACAAGTTGCTGTCACGTAGTCATAGTCCACAGATCCCTGAAGGTAGCAGGAAAGATAGATGATGTGGTCAAGAAAGCATGTGGAATACTTGTGGAGAGTATAAGATTTGGGAGTTTCTGCTAGAATTAAAGACATTGGTTAGGTCACATCTGGAGTAGTGAGTACAGTTATGGCCAACAACTCTAAGGCTGTGATTCTACAAAAAGGGTATAAAAGCTACTTGGGAAGAAACTGGAGAGTTTTGAGTTTGAAGGACTCAAAACTCTCTCCATAGATGCTACCAAACCTGCTGAGTTTCTCCAGCATTTTCTGTTTTTATTGGGATACAGTGACGAGTTTTAAAGTAATTGGCAGAAAGATTAGAGGGGAATTGAAGAGATTAGTTGGATACCCAGAGATTGGTGAGCATCAGGATTTCACTGCCTCAAAGGATAGTGAAGGCAAAAAGCCCTACTGTATTCGATAAAAAAAATGTACTAACAGAGCTACAGTCCAAAAGTCGAAAAGTGTAATTAAGCCTGATAGTTCTTCATGGACAAGCACAAAAACAATAAGCCAAATGGTCTTTGCTGTAGGTTTCAATGCTTCTATACGTGAACTTTTCCTCCTTCAGGCTACTGTAATGGACATAGAGAGTCTATATTGTCTCATCAAAGATATACATTGTTTCCCACATGGACATTCCCATGGAGAGGGACTGTCTTCTTTATATACAAGCATAAAATATAGGAATTCCACAATATCTGTCAAAAGAAAAGGATACCTCGGTGGAGCATGAGACAGAACTGGAAATTGAGAGATATGTGACTTTTTTATACAGAGCCATACAAGTCAAAGAGAGTGGAGAAACAACAAGAAAGGAAATGAACAATTCACAATCACAAGGAAATTGCAAACCGCTCCAATGAGATATGGATATGCATTGCTACGAAGTTATGTAGAGTGATCGTGATTTGGAAGGCAGGAAGCTAGAATTTGTTTGTAAAACTGATGGGGGGAGGTGGAAAAGAGTGCGTGATTCCTTTAAGAGGTAAAGTATTCTTCCATGCTTGGAGATTTTAACGAAAATGTATCTGTAAGCAGCTGAATAGGTACAGATAGTTCTGAAATGGAAACATGTATCAACTGGCTGCGTGTATTGAAACCTTAGGCTTGTTTTGATGTTTTGGCAACTAACTGGAATCAACCAGTTAATTAAAACCAAGCACATGGCAATTGAATTTAAATCTGATGGCTTTGACAACCTCAGACAAATGCTTTGTAAAAAAATTGATATGTCATCTAAGGTGTATAAGGAGATGGTTTTTGAAAATCAGTGGGAGAGCGAACTACCATCTGAGAAATAAGCATTGAGCTCTCACACGAAATTGCCAAGCTCTCTAAGAAAGCACCATCTATTCATAAAAGGTACCACAGCACTTCTAACTATGAAGCGTCACAGAAGACTTCATATAGAAAATATCCCAGACAGCTGGATCAGTGGAAGAAAGGCGTTTGTGACTTGAGAACAGCAGAAGAAAGGCGTATAGACTTTGGGAGATGAAGTTTTAATTTATTTTCTTATTACTTGGGTTATTATAAGTGGGATTTGTGCTTATTGGAACAGCGTACCAGTAGAATTTAATTCAGTTAGGGAATAGTTAGTAGTTAGGGGGAATTGTTCCGTTTGTTAGTAATTCTGTTAATTTATTCACTGTTAGGGTTAAATAAATACATTGTTACTTGTTACTTATTAAGTGAATATCAAGGATTTTATTTCATTTAACCACAGTTTTTAAACAGATTATAAAGGCGAGACGAGCTTCTCTGGGTGTTTTGGGTTTAATTATTAGAAGGGAACCTCTACTCCTGCCATAACAGATTGGGGGCTCAGGTCCAGGGTCTGGCTGGTTCATGTACGGGATCTGAACAGACCCGAATGGATTTTGACAGATTTGAATGGATTTGGGATATAAAAGGTCCCAACAGATTTAAACAGACTTGGGAATTAGTGTCCTAGATCTTTAAATAAAAACTTACATGAAAAATTGAAAATCTGTTTAATTTTGTTTCCTTTGAGAAATTGGCTAACCAAATGAAGTGGCCAGAGACTGTGTGGGTAATGTTGATTCAGACCAAGTTGGTAGGTAGGGCTATTGAGGTGTTTGCAAAACTGTCAGATGAGGTGTCAAGAGAATATGAACAAGTAAAACAGGCTGTTTTGAGTGTCTATGAATTGGTACCAGAAGCATAAAGACAAAGGTGCAGAAACATAAGGAAGGAACCAGGTCAGACTTATGTTGAGTTTGAAAGAATTAAACATAGCAACTTCAATAGATGGGTGAGAGCATTAAAGGTAGAAAAGACATACAAGGATCTTAGAAAGATCATTCTACTGGAGGAGTTTAAAAACTCACTTCCAGAGATGAGAAGAACGCATATTGAGGAACAGAAAGTTCAAACAGCGAGAAGAGCTGCAGAGATGGCGGATGAATACACATTAGTCCATTAATTGAAATTTAGCTTCTGACAGAAAGTTCATTCTGGGAGGGATAGAAATTGGGAAAATGGGAGATCCTTCAATGAAAAACAAAAAGTAGATCATATTGAAAACAGAGATAGTAGGAACTGCAGATGCTGGATAACCTGAGATAACAAGGTGTAGATCTGGATGAACACAGCAGGATCAGAGGAGCAGGAAAGCTGACGTTTTCATTTTCTGAAGAAGGATCTAGACCCGAAAAGTCAGCTTTCCTGCTCCTCTGATGCTGCTTGGCCTGCTGTGTTCATCCAGCTCTACACCTTGTTATCTCATATTGAAAACACTTTATCACAGGTGAATAAAGAAACCTCAGTGGGTGAAAAGAGGTGAAAGGCCTCAGGTGTTTTCACTGTAATGGAGTGGGACACACAAAGTCACAGTGCTGGTGGTTTAAGAAAGGCACCGGGAAAAAGGATGTGGTAAAAGAGGCTAAACCAGTGCGATTAGTTGAAATAGTGAAGGAAATCCCAAAAGAAATTGAGGAGCTGCAGGGCAGTGAACAGCCTAGTCACAGGCTGGATCTTGAGATGGTGCCCGAACTAAAGACTTCACCTCTGTGAGTAAAGTTTACTTAGGAAGAACGGGGAGAAGATAAAGAAGTTAAAATATTGAGAGATATGGGAGCTAACCAGTCTCTAAAAGTAAGAGATGAAAGTATTTGCGGTCCTTCTGAAATGTTTCCCAAGAGAGTGGTAATCTGTGGAATAAATGGAGACAGATTTAGCATTCCCCTGTGTAAGATAAGGCTAGAAAGTCCAATCAAGACTGGGGAAGTGACAGTGGGAGTGATTGAAAGTGTGTCTATTCTAGGAATACAGTTTGTTCTTGGAAACAAACTAGCCGGATCAAAGGTGGGAGCGATGCCCCGTGTAGTGGAGAAGCCAAAGGAAAACCAGGAAGCTGAGTATTTAAAAGAAAAATACCCTGGAATTTTTCTGGACTGTGTGGTAACAAGATCCCACAGTCATAAGTTACAGCAAGAAGGAAAAACCAGAGAGACGAAGGAGTTGAGGTTGAGTTAGCTGACATCCTGTTTGATGAAATGGTAAAGGAAAAATGTGAACAGGGAGAGGATCAGGCAGAGATGTTTAGATCTGAAAGATTACTGGAGTTACAATAAAAAGATGAGACAATAAAAGATATATCATAAAGCCTACTTGGAAAAGGAATCTGGATGTATTCCCAAATGTTTATATCATAAGGATAGAATTCTAAGCCGGAAACTGAAACCTTGGCAGGTTAGTGCAGAAGAGAAAAGGGCAGAAGTTCACCAGATTGTGTTGCTGGTAGTATATAGACAGGAATTGTTGAGGGTAGCACACAAATTACCTGTAGGAGGTCATCTAGGGGCAAGGAAGACTCAGGTTAAGATACAAAAGCATTTTTATTGGCCTGGATTACGTAGGGCTGTGGTTGAATTTTGCCATACCTGTCACACATATCAAATGGTAGGAAAGCCAGAGGCAGTAATAAAACCAGCACCTTTGATGCCAATTCCCACATTTGAAGAATCTTTCACATGGGTTATGATTGTTTGTATAGGTCCTCTCCCTAAAACCAAAAGTGGAAACCAGTATTTGCTAACCATAATGGATGTGTCTACCAGATTTCCAGAGGCAATTCCATTTTGGAATGTGAAGGCAAAAACGGTTGTGGAGGAGTTGCTTGCTTTCTTTACCCATTATGGACTACCCAGGGAAATTCAATCAGACCAAGGGTCCAATTTTACTGCCAAATTATTTAAGGAGGTCATGGATAGTTTAAGCATCCAACACTTTAAATCAAGTGCGTACCACCTTGAATTCCAGGGAGCATTGGAAAGGTGGCATCAGACCCTGAAGACCATGCTGAGAAGTTATTGCCAGGGTTACCCAAATGATAAGAATAAATTATCATTCTTAATTTATATCGTTTGCCATTAGACATGCCCCAAAATGAATCAACTCAGTTTACATCATTTGAGTTGATATTCGGACATGAAGTAAGAGGGCCTTTAAAATTAATTAAGTAAAAGTTGGTAAGTTTGAAGTCAGGGATTTCACAGTTAGATTACGTATTAAACAGAGTCAGTGAACTAGCTAGACAACACCTGAAGGTGGCACAGCATCTAATGAAGCAAGAAGCAGATAATTAATCTAAAATTTGGATGTTTGCCCCTGGGGATAAAGAATTGGTGCTGTTACCAGTGGCAGGAGATCCCTTCAAAGTGAGGTTCGGTGGTTCCTATCAGATTGAGAAGTTGAGGCAGGTGAATTATCTGGTAAAGATGCCCGATAGGAAAAACCTTTATTGGGCATGTCATGTGAATATGCTGAAACCTTACTATGACAGTGAAAGGGAACTGGAGAAACAAGTATTAGTTACCGCCACTCAGAATGAGGAATCAAATCCAGATGATTCAGATTTTGATGTGCCTCAAAATAAATTAAATAATGAGGAAGCCCTTACAGAATGGGATAGATAGTGAGCTATCTGGCTCAGGAACAGAGAACTGAACTGAAAGGCTTGTTGTAGTAATTTGAGGACATATGTAGAAACAGAATGGGGAGGACTAATATTATAGTGCATGAGGTTGAAGTAGGGAATGCTATTTCGATAAAACAACACCCCTACAGACTTAATCCTCTCAAAGCTGGACAGGTATAGAAGGAAGTGGAAGCGATGCTCCAAGAATACATCAGCGAGCTGAGTCAAAGCAAGTGGAGTTCGCTGACTGTGTTGGTTCCTGAACCTGATGGTACTCAACAATTCTGCATAGATTATTGGAAGGTCAATGCCATAACCAAATCAGACTCATTCCCAATTCCAAGGCTAGAGGACTGTGTGGAATAAGTAGGACAAGCCGCTTACATCACAAAGTTGGACTTACTTTGTGGGTACTGGCAACCACCTTTGTCGGACAGAGTGAAAGAAGTTTCGGTATTTGTAACCCCAATTGGGCGTATTAATTTAAAGTAATACCTTTTGGAATGAAAAATGCATCAGCCACATTTCAAAGACTCACGAACAGAGTTGTGGCAGGATTGACTAGTTGTGCTGTCTACATAGATGACTTGGTGATCTTTAGCCATTCATGGAAAGATCACATGGTGCATTTGGCGGAACTTTTTGAAAGACTACGAGAGGAAAAACTAGTTATAAATTTAGCAAAAACTGAATTTGTGAAGGCAGAAATGACGTTCTTGGGACATAACATTGGACATGGAAGGATGACCCTGAGGAACCTGAAGATGAAGGCCATCAAGTAATTTCCAAGACAATTCTTGAAGAAAGAGGTATTTTGCTTTTTGGGACTGAGTGGATTCTACCGGAAGTTTGTATCAAACTTTAGTAGCATGGTGGCACCGCTGACGGATTTGCTAAAAAAAAATACGAAATTTCAGAAGACAGAACAATGCCAGGAAGAATTTGAGAATTTAAAAGCCGTGTTAACCACCGAACCAGTTTTAGCCACACCAAATTTCTTGAAACTCTTGAAAGTCAGTATCGACACCAGCGTTATAAGGGTTGGAGCTGGGTTGATGCAGGAGCATGATGGTAGAATTGAAAAGCCAATTGGTTATTTTTCAAAGGAACTCAAAATTACCAGAGAAAAACTCCACCACTGAAAAAGAGTTATTGAGTTTGCTACTGACCTCGTAACATTTTCATGTTTATGTTACAAGCAATGTTTCGGAGACGGTTGTGTATGCTGACCACAACCCTCTCACCTTTTTAGAAAGATTTAAGGACAAGAATACAAGACTATTTCATTGGAGTCTTATGTTGCAGGCTTTTAATTTACAGATTGTATGTTTTGCAGGTCATAAAAATGTTATTACGGATGCATTATTGCGGGTTTAAAAGAAAATTTGTAGATAAGATAGAACCGGTACGGTCTAATATTATATACGTATGCAGAATTAGATGAAAAGTGTAACTTTAGATTACTGACCTATGTATCTTGTGATAACGGTATTAAGATTTTTAAAAAAGGAAGCCATCTTTTCACAATGATGGTTCAATATCTTTCTAAAGGGGGAGGAGTTATGAAGTTGTGTAGAGCAATCATGAATTGGAAGGCAGGAAGCTAGAATTTGTTTGTGAAAATGATGGGGGAAGAGTTATGGTTCCTTTAAGAGATAAAGTGCTTTTCTAAGCTTGGAGATTTACATAGAAAATGTATCTGTAATCAACTGAATAGGTACAGATAGTTCTGAAATTGAAACATGTATTAACTGGCTGTGTGAATGAAAACCTTAGGCTTGTTTTGATGTTTTGGCAACTAGCTAGAATAAGCTAAATAATTTAAACCAAGCACTTAGCGATTGAAAGCCAATTGAATTTAAATCTGATGGTTTTGACAACTCAGACCAATGCTATTGTAAGAAAATTGATATGTCATCCAAAATATATAAGGAGAGGGTTTTTGAAAATCGGAGTGAGAGCAAACTGCCATTTGCGATATAAGCATTCAGCTTTCACAGGAAACTAACAAGCTCTCTAAGAAAGCACCATCTATCCATAAAAGGTACCACGGCACTTCTAGCTAAGAGTCCTCACAGAAGACTTCACAGAGAAAACATTCCTGACAGCCAGATCAGCAGAAGAAAGGCATTTATGACTTGAGAACAGCAGAAGAAAGAAGTATAGACTTTGAGAGACTAAGTTTTAATTTATTTTCTTATTACTTCAGTTTACATAAGTGGGACTTGTGTTTATTGAAACAGCATACCAGTAGAATTTATTTCAGTTAGGGAATAGTTAGTAGTTACGGGGTAATTGATCAGTATGTTAGTAATTCTGTTAATTTGATGACTGTTAGGGTTAAACAAATAAATTGTTACTTATTACTTATAAAGTGAATATCAGGGATTTTCTTTCATTTAACTGCTCTTTTTGATAGATTATCAAGGCAAGACGTGCTTCAGGTGCATCAGGTTTAATTATTAGAACGGAATCTCTACTCCCACCATAACAGATTGGGGGCTTGTGTGTTGGTTTAATTATCAGAGGGGTTCAAACTCCTCACCATAACAGCAATAAGATCATTACTACAAGTGGTGAAAATATATTAGGAAAACCAAAAATGGACAAAACAAATCTAACATTGAAAGAAATTAACAGAAGTGTAGGACAGAAACAGGTGAGAAATTGAGAGAGGTCATTCCCATCCGAAGTTATTAAAGTTGATGTAGTTGATGGAGTCAAGACAGAGACCAGATTTAGAACTGAAAGGTCACTGAGAAAAATATTGCCATGGGGTCAAATCACACTTACAGATGGAACAAAGCAGAGATGTCCAGAACCGTACAACCCCAGTGGTGGTTATATCACATTGAGTAAGTCAATACAATGTCAGAAAGTACGTAATTTGGCACCTCCCATGGAAAGAGAGAGAAGTATACAGAACAAAAAAATATTAGTTTAGTTATCTCACAGGAGATGGGGGTCACTGGCAAGGTCAACATTTATTATCCATCATTAATAGCCCTTGGATTGACAATGCCTTTTCCAGGTCATTTCAATTAAGAGTCAACTAAATGACAGCATATCTGGAGTCACATGTAGGCCAGATTAGGTTAGAATGATAGATTTCCTTCCTTAAAGGACATTAGTAAAACAACAAATGATAATTTTTTAGTGGTACACGTACTGAGAAATAGTTTCCAATTCCTGTTTGTTAATTAAATGAATTTAAATGGGATCAAATGCCACAGTAGGATTTGAATGCACAACCATATGGCATTGCTACTATTGTACCATCCCCCTCACGTGGACAGGTACTACAGTGCCACACAGGGAATGTTAGATTTGCAGCAGGACAGGGAAATGATGGAAAGGTGAAAAAAGTTATCAGAAATGGAAATATCTCACTGCAAACTAGACAGGGAGGAAGCTAAGAAAAATGGAGGTATATTTAAGAGGTTAATTCCACTGAGTTCAATCACTTACGTATACCATCACTTCTCAGATTGCATTGTCTTCTCTCTTACGTGTAAATTCTTCTGATTAAAATTCAAGTCCTGCTGAAAAACAAATTCATTGAACAATACCAGGAAGCATTTGAGAATTTAAAAGCCATGTTAACCACCAAACCAGTTTTAGCTACACCAAATTTCTTTGAAGTTGGTATCAACACCAGCGATATACGAGTTGGAGCTGTGTTGTTACAGGAGGATGATGGTGGGATTGAAAGGTCAATTGGTTATTTTTCAAAGAAACTCAAAATCCACCAGAAAAAAACTCCACCATTGAAAAAGAGTTATTGAGTTTGCTGCTGGCCTCATAACATTTTAATGTTTATGTTACAAACAGTGTTTCGGAGCTGGGTTGTGTATACTGATCACAACCCTCTCACCTCTTTAGAAAGATTTAAGGACAACAGTACAAGACTATTTCATTGGCGTCTTATGTTACAGGCTTTTAATTTACAGATTACAGAGCCCAGGACCTCAAAGCAAAAGATAAGGATGATCTTCAGCCAGAATGCCAAATGAATGATTCACCTCAGCTTCCTTCAGTGGTCCCAAGCATCAGTCTTTAGCCAATCTGATTCACTTCATACGATATCAAGAAATGGTTGGAGACACTGGATACTGCAAAGGCTGTGGACCCTTACAACATTCCAGCAATTGTATTGAAGACTTGTGCTCCAGAACTTGCTGGTCCCATAGCCAAGCTGTTCCAGCATAGTTACAAAACTGGCATCTACCCGACAATGTGAAAAATTGCCTAGGTATGTCCTGTACATAAAAAGCTGGACAAATCCAACCTGCTCATTCACTGTCCCATCAGTCTACTCTTGATCATCAGTAAAGTGATGGAAAGTGTCATCAAAAGCGCTATCAAGCAGCACCCTGCTCAGTGACATCAAATTTGGCTTCTGCCAGGGCCACTCAGTTCCTGACCTCATTACAGTCTTGCTTCAAACATGGGCAAAAGAGCTGAATTCTAGAGGTGAGCTGAGAGTGACAGCCTGTGACATTCGAATGAGCGTGGCATCAAGGAGTCCTAACAAAACTGGAATCAATGGGTATCAGAGGGCAAACTCTGGCATGTAGGAAGATGGTTGTGATTGTTAGAGATCAGTCATCTCACCTCCAGGACATCTCTGCAGGAGTTCCTCAGGGTGGTGTGCTAGGCCAACCATGTACAGATGCTTCATCAATAACTTTCCCTCCTTCATAAGGTCAGAAGTGGGGATTTCTGCCGATGATTGCACAATGTTCAGCACCATTCACAATTCCTCGATACTGAAGCAGTCCATGTTCAAATGTAACAAGGTCTGGACAATCTGCAGACTTGGGTGGACAAGCAGCAAGTAACATTTGTATCCCACAAATGCCAGACAATGACCATCTCCAACAAGAGACAATCTAACCATAGTTCCTTGAGATTCAATGGTGTTATCATCACTGAATCCCCCATTATCAACATCCTTGGAGGTACCATTGACTAGAAACTCAACTGGTCTCTCACATAAATCACACATGGAGTTTAATTTAGATAAATGAAGTGCTACATTTTGGAAAGGCAAATCAGGGCAGAACTTATACTCTTTATGGTAAGGTCCCGGGGAGTGTTGCTGAACAAAGAGACCTTGGAGTGCAGGTTCATAGTTCCTTGAAAGTGAAGTTGCAGGTAGACAGAACAGTGAAGAAGGCATTTGGTATGCTTGTCTTTATTGGTCAATGCATTGAGTAAAAGAGTTGGGAGGTCATGTCACAGCTGTACAGGACATTGGTCAGGCCACTTTTAGAATACTCTGTGTAATTCTGGTCACCCTGCTATAAGAAGGATGTTGTAAAAGTTGAAAGGTTTCAGAAAAGATTTACAAGGATGTTGCAAGGTTGGAGGGTTTGATCTACAGGGAAAGGTTGAATAGGCTGGAGGCATTTTCCTGGAGTGTCAGAGGCTGAGGGGTGACCTTATAGAAGTTTACAAAATCATGAGGGGCATGGATAGGGTGAATAGTCAAGGTCTTTTCCCCAGGGTAGAGGAGGCCAAAACTAGAAGGCTTTGATTGAAGGTGGGAGGGGAAAGATTTAAAAGGGTCCTAAGGGGCAACTTTTTCACATAGAGGGTGGTGCGTGTATGGAATGAGCTGCCAGAGGAAGTGATGGAGGCTAGCACAATTACAATACGGTTATTTCTGCTATAACGTGTGTTTCATTAACGCGACTTGGCTGTAATGCGATTGATGAGTAGTGGACGCTCTTTGGATAATGCAAGCTTTCTACTGTAGAGTATAGAGATTTTCTATAGCGATTTCCCTATAATGCGATTTTCTATAGCGCAGGGTTGCACAAGAATGCAACCATCGTGTTATAGGAGAACTACCTGTATTTAAAAAGTATTTGGATGGGTCCATGCAAAGGAAAGTTTTAGAGGGATATGGACCAAATGCTGGCAAATGGGACTAGATTAATTTAGAATACCTGGTCGGCATGGACAAGTTGGACGAAAGGGTCTGTTTCCATGCTGTACATTTCTATGGCTCTATGGCATAAACACAGTGGCTACAAGAGCAGGTCAGAGGTTAAGAATACTGCAGCAAGTAACTTACCTCATGACTCCCCAAAGCCTGTCTGTCATCTACAAGGCACAAATCCACAAATCAAGAGTGTGATAAAATATTTGCCACTTCCCTGGACAGTTGCAGCTCCAACAACTCTCAAGAAGTTTGACACCATCCAGGAGAAAGTAGCCCACTTGATTGGCACCACAACCACAAGCATCCACTCCCTCCATCACTGACACTCAGTAGCAGCAGTGTGTACTATCTACAAGATGTACTGCAGAAATTTACCAAAGGCAGCACCTTCCAGTGAATTCCAAGATGGCTGCAGGGTAGAACACTCCTGCTGGAGCTCATCCACTCCACTCAATCCTTTTCTTTTTATTTCCTCTTTTTCCTCGGCCCTGAAGCGAATCAAGGGCAGCCAGCAGGCCCAGAGGGGAATGGGAATAGCAGCCAGTGGACCTGGAGCAGAGTGGGGACGGCCAGCGGCTTAGAGCAGAGCAGGGAAGGTGGTCAGTGGGCCCGGAGTGAAGATGGCTACGGTTTCAGAATCAGTGGAGCCCAGTCAGACCACATGGAAGCCTAACAGAAAGGCTAATTGTCTATGTTTTTAGCTTTATTTCTTATTTTCCTAACTTATACTATGTATTTCTGTAATGTAGTGTAACTTTTTTTTTTCATTTGTCTATTTGTTGTACCTAAGATTTACACGTAGGTATTTTGTACCTAAGATGGCACCGTGTGTTGGCAACATTGTACATTTTTCACTGTACCCCTGTTCTTTTGTAACTCGAGTACACATGACAATAAAACTAATTCTGAATGCTAAAATGCAAACCAATGTCCACTTCCATCTAGAACAACAAGGGCAGCACTTATGTTGGAGCACCAGCACCTGCAAGTTCCTCTCCAAGACACTCACTATCCTGACTTGAGAATACCGTGCCTTCACTGTCGCTGGGTCAAAATCCTGGATATCCTTCCCTAAGGGCATTGTGGGTCTACCTACAGCACATGGACTGCAGTGATTGAAGAAGGCAGCTCAAACGCATCTTCTCAAGGGCAGCTAGGGCCGGGCAACAAAATGCTGGCCAGACAGCAATGTCCAGGTCCCATGAGTGAATTGAAAAAAATTGGACAGCCATTTTTGACCCTAAGGAAGAGAATAAAAGTGAAGGCATAAAGATCATGAAGAAATTTCTGGAGAAAATTGAGCAGATTTAAGTTCCTTGGGTTAGTAATGAGAGAAGATAAAAATATCAAAATGGAAATTAAGCAACAGATGAGCTCTGGTTGGAGAAATTGATTAAGTGCAGTGGGGTGTTATGTGTCAGAAAACAATGGCTGACGCTGAAAGGAAATTCTACAAGGCAATTTGTCTTGCAGTTGCAACTCTCTGGGCCTCAACATGGGTTCTTTTTACACAAGGTAGTGGGATTTTAAATTCCTTGAAAAAAAAAATCCAAAACCTTCATGAGATATCAAGGTGTAGAGCTGGATGAACACAGCAGGCCAAGCAGCATCAGAGGAGCAGGAAGGCTGACGTTTCGGGCCTAGACCCTTCTTCAGAAATGGGGGAGGGGAAGGGGGCTCTGAAATAAATAGGGAGAGATGGGGAGGCGGATAGAAGATGGATAGAGGAGAAGATAGGTGGAGAGGAGACAGACAGGTCAAAGAGGCAGGGATGGAGCCAGTAAAGGTGAGTGTAGGTGGGGAGTTAGGGAGGAGATAGGTCAGTCCAGGGAGGATGGACAGGTCAAGGGGGCGGGACGAAGTTAATAGGTAGGAGATGGGCGTGGGGCTTGAGGTGAGAGGAAGAACAGGTTAGTGAGGCGGGGACGAGCTGGGCTGGTTTTGGGATGTGGTAGGGGAAGGGGAGATTTTGAAGCTTGTGAAGTCCACATTGATACCATTGGGCTGCAGGGTTCCCAAGCAGAATATGAGTTGCTGTTCCTGCAACCTTTGGGTAGCATCGTTGTGGCACTGCAGGAGGCCCAGGATGGACATGTCGTCTGCAGAATGGGAGGGGAGTTGAAATGGTTCGCGACTGGGAGTTGCAGTTGTTTAGTGCGAACCGAGCGGAGGTGTTCTGCAAAGCGGTCCCCAAGCCTCTGCTTGGTTTCCCCGATGTAGAGAAGGCCACAACGGGAACAGTGGACGCAGTATACCACATTAGTAGATGTGCAGGTGAACAACTGCTTGATGTGGAAAGTCTTCTTGGGGCCTGGGACGGGGGTGAGGAGGGAGGTGTAGGGGCAGGTGTAGCACTTCCTGCGGTTGCAGGGAAAAGTGCCGGGTGTGGTGGGGCTGGAGGGGAGTGTGGAGCGGACATGGGAGTCACGGAGAGAGTGGTCCCTCCGGAAGGCAGATAAGGGTGGGGAGGGAAAAATGTCTTTGGTGGTGGGGTCGGATTGCAGATGGCGGAAGTATCGGAGGATGATGCGTTGGATCCGGAGGTTGGTGGGGTGGTACGCGAGGACAAGGGGGATTCTGTTTTGGTTGTTATTGTGGGGAGGG